GCCTGTCAGTGGGAGTCATCCTGTTACCAGGAAGGGTCCTAGAACCAGGGTACACAGAAATCCCAGGGCTTCTTGGGGAACTAGGTTACTCCAGGAGTGAGGTGGAGGCGAGCCACATGAGAACAGGTTGTAGAGGGTCCCTGAACACCCAGAAGGAAGAAACCAGGACTTGGTCCCATGCTGTCCAGTCTAGGCTTGTGGTGCCCCTCCTGGATGGCACCGCTGACTGGACCAGGCCCAGACACAGGAGAGGGCTTAGACATTTTGAGGAAGGTGACTCTGACCACCAGAACTCACATGGGATCTGGTCCAGATTTGGGGCTCCCTGCAGGGCCCAGGGAAGGGACCACTGACTTGGGTCTATAGGCCAAGCCAACATCATGTGCCAATGTTCTTGGGAGTGGCTCAGGCTGAAGGTGCACATCTGGGAGTCATCAAGCTGCTGAGAATAGCTTTATGGGAAGAAAAGATTCTGAGGCTTCTCATTCCCAAACTCTTACCTTCTCAAAATGTGAGAAGTCAGTTCTCTCCATTTCTAGGCAAAGGACCAAGAATTACCCACTTGACAGTTTCTAGAACTTCTTTGTAGCTTATATAAACCTACAAAGAACTCCTCACCCTGAAAATAGAAACAGTTCATACTATGAAAAACCAGACCTAAATCTCCTTAGGGAACATACCTGGGGAGGCTGACATTTTCATTTTTCAATGCCAGGCTGAGCCTAACATTTCCCCTGCCCTCTGAACACTATTATTTGTGTTAGCCTGCAGTCTGTTTACCTAGGGGAATTATTAATGAACAATTAAGTCTGCTGAAAACATACCACCAAGTGGCACTCAGTAAACATTTCTTGACAATCATCAGGCCATTATTCATCTATGCCATCAAGGCAGAAACAAAATTGTGGAGTTTTTCAGCAAAGTATGAGAAGTTTGTCATCCTACAGATGAGAAAAGTGAGGGCCAGAGAAGCAAAGTTGATTTACCCAACCTATCAAAGTGAGGAAGGGGTCAAACCAAGACTTGGGCCCCAAATTCTTGATTTTAAATGTATTCATTGCTTTTTCTGCTACACTGCACTAGCGTTTTTGAGAAATGGCTGAATTCCACTAAGCCAGTTCAGATGTTTGAGACGTTAACCTTTCCAAAGAACAGTAAAATCTCATTAAGTCAAAGTAATTGGAAGAATAGCCAGGCTAACTTGGAGAAAAGTTTGAACTATTTTAAAAGATATTCAACTTTTTCCTTTCAAGGCCATGTAGTAAATTAGAACAAATAAGCACAGAATGGGGCCAAGTAGAGGTCTTACAGAACCTGCCTAAAGGGACAAACATTTGTACAATTTATAAATGGTACATTAACTATTGTTTGCGTGTAACTACGCAAACTTACGACTGCTAAAGTTATTTTAGGTATTCAAGAAAATGCATTTTTATTAAAAATAAACAAAATGTTTCCCTTGAAAATTCATTTTCATGTGAAAACACACATAGGAAATCCACAAATTTAAAACTAAACATCAGTACAACCACATTAAAATTATCATATGTTTGCCTGTGTACAGCCAGAAAATTGAAATGTTGCGCTCCATTTGTGTACGATGAATTGAAATGCATCCTGCTGTCATGGACAACTAAATAGAACAAATAATAATAACAATAATAATGATAATAAAATTGTCATGTGTTTGAACGGCACACAAATCAACTAAATTTAACAACACATCATAGAACTCAAATAAGAATCAAATATAACCAAGACAGTCTTATTGCTCTTCTTCTTTAATAGCTGAAAAAAATTTACAATTTCAATCAGAATAGCTCAACCAATTCAAGAACGTTTAGAAAGCAGCGTGTACTCTTTCCCCTTACAGTCAGGGCAGGGGTAGCCATGTTTGTCCTAGTCGTCTCGCATCTTCTGGGTGAGCTCTCACAGGAGAGCAGATTTTGACTTATCAGGCAAAAACATGATTCTCAGCCTGGGAGTCCTGGCTAGCGTTTGGAGAATCTTATTTTACAGTTTTGTTCTTCATGACTTGTTTGGCATTATTTCTGCAGCTCACAGCAGCACAAATGATGACATCTGTCTCTCTCGCTTTCCATCCCCTTGATTTTCCATCCCCTGGATTTTTTCATCTCTCTGACTCCAGCTGCTTGAACACGGGATGCATCTTCAGGCTGTTACTTGCTCTCAGCTCACTCCCACCAGATTCTCGCCCAATGATCCCGAGCTCCCAGCCACCTAGTGTGAGAAGTCTTTGCATTTGGCTGTCCTCGGTCATTTTGTTTTGTTGTTGTTGTTCACACACTAAACATTCATTGTGACGTTTACATACATTGGGCCTTATTATCTCTAGTTCTTTGTTTAACACACATCAAGCATATTCTGAAACAGTCCACGGGTTTCTCTATTTTTTTTCCTCTTCGAATTGACTTCCTCCTCCTTTGCTGGCTAAGACTTAGGGTTGTTGACTCAGCAAGTAGCATGTGGGGGGGTCCTGACTGGCCAAGGGATGCCCTTGACTAATGGGAGGCTTTTTGGGGAAGGAGTCTGTAAAGCTCTCAAAGGCATCAGTGTGGTCACTGCTGGGGGAGAAGATTTGGTTGGAGACATATAAGGCCTTCCTTGCTGGGTGAGTTGTCCTGGAAGTGATTCAAAGATCCACATATATTAGGGGGTAAAAAAAACTCGACCAAAACAAAAAGGAGGCTGCAAATATTTCTGCCATGTAATGTTAGAATAGCCTGATGAAACAGCTCAAGTTCAAAGCAACAGCATGGCTCTCAGGCATTCCTGCTGGTGACATGCTGCCCCCCTCTGGAGACAGAGGGAACTGAAGCTCTTGATCCATTCTAGTCCAGTTCTCAAGTCCATTCTGGGTCTGCATTGGTTGGACTGTTTTATCCAAAAAGTTATTTTGCTACAGTGTGAAGAAATGTCAGCTCATAAACTGAAAACAGTTTATTCAGTGAGTTTATGTTGATTTTAAGTAATGCCAAGGACTTTTATTTCCTGGCTGAGGATGACTCCTTAGTTTGGTGAACCATGGGTCCTTGTTCCACCCTCCTCTTCAAGAGGCTAAACTAAAGCCATCTTTCTTGGCAGCCTTGGACTAGCAAGGAGTTCTTCCTGACCTGGCATCCTGCCTTAGTAATCTTATCTTTAAAAGGAAGAGTTGGACTTTTGATTTTTAAGGTCCCTCAGGCTCTGATTCCACAATAATAATAAAAACCCCACAAGACTTTGTGAGACGTATTTAGCATAAATAAACTCTTAGGTATTAAGTGAGCTTTGTTTTTTAATGAACAAGATTTCTGGAAATAAATGTGCTTGGGGGAGGGGCTGGATTTCAGCTTTTCAAAATATGAAAGCTACCACCAGAAGGCAGTGTTGACATATAGTTTGATTCAAGAAGAGCTTCAATAGAGTTCCTTCTGATGAAAGCATTTTTAAAATCAAAGGATATAAGAATGATTAAAGGTTACATTTTTTTGTGGTAATAAGTTCTGAAAAGAATATAAAGGAACAGGCACCTTACACAGTAATAGAATAGTAAGTCTAATGAAGTTTCTATCATCTATGAAGGATAGTTATTAATTATTGAACTTAGATTGAGAATATAAGACAAACAGAAGATGGCAACTTCACAAAAAAAAAAGGTGGGAGGAGTTCATTCCTATTTCATCTCAGTCCTAGGCTACCACTGGCCGAAGACTTGCTTTGCCTCCTTCTGTGCACAGATAAAAGGTAGATTATTAATTCTCTTAGTAAGAAAGTTCTGGAAATTTCCTCTCCCTTTAAATACTACAGACTCCTTTAAAATTCCAATAGATAGTGTTAATATTTTTAATAGATGGAGAAATTGAGGTATAGAGATTTTATATAGGACTTAGCAAATTGTAGAACTAAAATAAGAACCAAATACAACCAAGAGAGTCTTCTTTTTTTAATGGCCCCAAATTTACAATTACAGAACAGTTCAATCAATCCAAGAAGGTTTACAAAGCAGCATGAACTCTTTCCTCGTAGGGTAAGGGTAGTGATTTTTATGTGAATTGTCCTGTGTCTTCAGACTTGTGACATCACAGTTCTCAACCTCAATCCTGGCTAGCATTTGGAAGATCTCTGTTTTCTTATTGTACTTTAAAAAAATTAACTAATTAATTAATTATACTTTTTTTAAGCTATCAAAGTAACAAAAGTTCACTGCTCCTCAACCTGACCGGAGGCATTTGGGTAGGCAGTTTTAAGTGAGATAGAGGTAGCCTATGTGCCAACTCCTCTCCCTCTTCCCATCTGTCTTAATGGTAGACATGATCTGGGAAATAGAGAAAACCCTATAACTCTCAGGGAAGGATTGTGGGCTTTAGATACTAAATAATCAGCTCAATAGGATTGACTTATAAGAATAAACTTACTTTGGATGGTCTCCCATAATCAAAGAGTCCATAGCAATGTTTTTCAAACTGGGTCAAAACCCATTAGTGGGCCATAAAAATCAATTAGAATGGTCACAACCAGCATGTTTTATTAAGTAGGATGGAAAGGAAAAGAATATAAAGTATCAGAGTGGATCACACACATTTTACTCCCTGGTTTATTTTATATATTTTACTGGATCATTAAATAAATGGTGTTTCTTATGGGGTGTCACGTTCAGAGAGGTTGGAAGCCATTTTTCATAGCACTGTATCTGTCCCTGGCTGATTGCTGTGTCATATATGACAGTTCATATTTCATCCTCCTCGGAAGCCTATCATTTCTTAATTAAAATTTGAATTACTTTTCCTGTTTTTTTTTCCCCCCATGGTGCTGGGTTTTGAATTCCAGGGGCACTCTACCATTGAGTTCCATCCCCAGGCCTTCTTGTTTTTTTTATTTTGAGATAGGGTCTCATGAAGGTGTTAAGGTTGGCCTCAAACTCGAAATCCTCCTGCCTCAGCCTCCTGAGTCAGGATCACAGGTGTGGGCAACCAAGCCTAACTGAATTACCTTTCTTCGCTGCAAAGATTTTCATAATACCTTAAACACAGTGGGTGCTTAGGAAACCTGTTTGAAATTTCTTTTTTGCTTCTAACTAAACTTCTAAAACATACTTTTAGAACTGTCAAGTGCTATTTGTAATTCTACTTTGTTTAGCTGATACCAATTATACGTGTAGGCTGGCGTTAACACAAGCATTGCCTTCTAACCATCTTTTCCTTATTCGTACGCACTGGGGCCCAAACATAGAAGAATTCACCAAAAATAATTGCATTGTGACTACTGTGCCGATTTGAATTTTTGTTTTTCAAAGAGCTCTCTCAGCTGCTGCTCCGTGGTGGCTTCCTTCTGCTGCATCAACTCGGCAGTTCCTTTGGTCACGCCCCAGGCATCCGGCTTTGACAAGGAAGGGTTGTAGGGCCTGCCGGAGGCTATCCGAAGATTCTGCCAGTATTCCTTCCTGGCCCTGCAAGAACAAAACATATATCAGACTCCTCCCCCAGCATGGGGCTCTAGGTCACCAGAGCCTGAAGCCATCTTTGACTCTGAGAGTATGTCCATTAAAGCCATTTATTAATTCAGACTAAGACCTTTAACCCTCCAAAGAATATATAGGTCTACATAGGGATCAAAAACTTAGAGTGGGGATATTTTCCTTCCAGTTGATGCAACCTCTCTGTCCCCACATTGTGACACTCTACCTCATGGACTGGCTCCGTCCACTGGTTTTGCTCATCTCCAAACCCAGGATGGCTTTGGCATCTATAACCTGTAGATTCATTTCAGTTCTTCTTTCAATTCCCATTTTCTCCTTCTATTTCAAACCTCACAATGTCTGGTAGCACTTCTAGAAGCCTTCTGCGCAAGAGTTTGACAGCTTGCTCATCTACCCCTACCCTGAGCTGTGTGAGACTCTACAGGCTCCTCATTACCTCTGGGATGAGGTCATGTGTCCTCATGGTCATGAATAATAAAAACACCTCTTCCTCCTGCTCCTCCTAGAGTGATGTCTTCTATCAAATTCTGTCTCTACTGTTCTTAGAATTCTAGTTTCTCCAGGCACCATCTTCTTTCCACCTCTCAGTACCTTCCTGCAGGCTGTTCCTTTGTCTGGCTGGGAATCCATCCCTCAAAATTCAGCTCAGGCATCAGCTTTCATAGACATCCTTCATTAATTCCCTTCTGTCTTTCGCTCGTGAAGGCTAACACTCAGCCCCTGTACTATACTGTGCAAGTCTCCATTGTTGAAATTGCTATCCATTTGAATGTCTGCCCACTAGGTTGCTCACTCACTGGGGTCAGGCCTGTGCCTTGGGCTAGCTTAGCATCCACAATGGTGCCTGACAGATTACTGTGTCCAATTAATGTCTGCTGAATGGAGCAGACCTGGTCCCTCTGCTTGGAGTGCCATCCTCTGCTCCCTTCCTTTTCTACCTAAGAATCTTACTTAGCCTTCAAAACTTGGCCCAAAATACCACTTCTAAAATATCTATTAGGTAGAGATACTTATTTTTTTCTCTTGTAACTTTTTTTTTTTTAATCCATGCCTCTACTGAAGCAGTTGCCACATTTTTCACCAGCAAACAAGTCTATAGACCAGAGATTACATATTTCTGTTTTTATAGTATCCCTAGTACCTAGCAAAGTATGATGTTTTCTTTTGTTGTTGTTGTTTTAGTACCAGGGATTGAACTCAGGGGCGCTTAACCACTGAACCACATCCCCAGCCCTTTTTAAATTTTTATTTAGAGACAGGGTCTCCCTGAGTTGCCCACTAAGTTACTAAATTTGGCTTTGAACTTGCGATCCTCCAGCCTTAGTCTTCCCAGCCTCTGGGATTACAGGGGTGTACCATTATGTCTGGTGCAAAGTTTGATATGAAATTTATTTCCTTGTTTATTTATCTCCCCCACTGGAATGTAAACTCTGAGGGCAAAGACCTTGCCTATTTTAGTCACCATTGCATTCCCAGCTCTGAGTTTCTTGACACCGATAGACTTAATTAGTATTGTTACATTTCGGTTATATTTAACTCTTAAAAAAATCAATGTGATTCAATGTTAGTGTCCACCACATGGATGGTATTTTACTGGAGCACAAAATCACATTTCACTGCCACTTAGATTTTTCACATTTTATATTCTTAAGGCTTTCTCTAGAAATCACTCCATAAGGATGTTCTATAAACATCTCTCTGAGAAAATGTAAGGAAGATGACTAATTCTTCATCCTCACATGCAAATTAGTTGCACTCTTTTAGTGACCTCACGTGGACATAATCATAATCTAGATGTATTTGGGTTAGCAAATTGGGAGGTTCTTACCTTGCTCTAATCCAGGGTTTGGTGTGCATGTCCAAACCACTTCCCCAGCTGCCATGTTTTTCAGATGCTGGTGGCAAAAATCCCCTTTCTGGGGCCAGCTCCTCTGCAATTGCCCTGATGTGGTAGGGCTCAAATCCACAGCACCCACCGATGTACCTGACCCCCAGGTTGTAGGCCTCTCTGGCATATTTTTGAATATCCCATCTGGTTGCAACTCTGGGCTCCAATCCTGTAATAAATGACATTATGTCTGAATTCTTTTTATTAAAAAAATCAAGATAAATAGTCTTAAGTAAATTGTAAGTTTTTTAAAAAAGTTCAGAGTTTTGCTTTGGTTTTGATAGCTGGTTCCATTTTCCCTTCTTCTGCCATCTAAAATGAAGGGAGCTTTGGCAGTGGACAGAAACTTGGGGCAAGAGAAGAGGAGCTATGCAGCCATTTCTTTACTATGATAGAAGCTCTCTGACCATAGATTTCTTTGAAATTTACCAAGCAAAGCTATTGAGATAATTTAGAAAAACGTCTGTCTTACCAAACGGGAATTCTGGGAGATCAATAAATCCCTGTTTGCCGCAGTCGGGAGTGTGGTAGGCCAAGGGCTGGCTCATCAGGTAAGCTTTCAACCCTGCGGCCTCCAAGCCCTCTTTCATGAGCTTCACCGTCTGTAAACTAATTGTGGGGTCAAAGTGGCAGTTCACACCGACGATGGAGGCTCCTGCAAATGGGGAGAACATCTTAACTTTAGACTGTGCCGATACCAGTAGGCCCGATTCTCTCCTCTTCAGGAAGGTTGTATTTGGAATGATGGATTGGAAATGTAGCATTTGGTCCTCACTCCCCACAAACCTATCTCACCTGTGAGCAAGAATGATTACTAGCAGGCAGGAAGTGCTTTCTGCAAAAAGTGCTTTGAAGAGTCTGGTATAATTGAAGTGTCACTTATGCGCACTGGGCTGTCCATCTTTTTTTCCAAAAAAATCATTATTAGAGGTTTTTTTCTACTTCAAATTTTAGTAGTCAATTTTTCAATGTTTGACATTATGTTGCAAGCACAATAATTTTTCCACACTCCCAGCTGCTAGATTGCACCTGTGTTTACCATAGTGCTGCTCATTTGAGGCATAAATGAATGTTCCCTATCACCAGGCCCGTTTAATAATTTCACTAGGCTTTGTGGCACAGTAACAGAAAGTAATTTAGGAAAAAAGTTTTTCAGAAATCTGTTTTCTAGAAGAAATTTTCTGTCTAGGATTAGTGGTTTGGAAAAAAAAAATCTTAAAAATCTTTTGACTCGAGCTAATCAATACAGTTAACAGCCTATCAATCATTTTGACAAACTTTTCATTTACATTTTAGCCTTCCTAGATTCACAACAATATGGGGCTGTCTGCCTAAACCTTTCTTCTAAAATTTGTTGCTGTGAAGTTTGATTTAGTGAGATCAAAATGCTTTAGATACTCTTTTTTTTTCCCCCCAGAACTTTCCTTATAGTCATTATATACTTAATTGGATCTGGACCAAAGATGCTTTATCATGGCACTTGTAAGACATGATTCTGGAAATTTCCTCCACTAGCTGATTTGAAGAGGCAACATGACATTACTCTGTCCTATCAAAATGGGAGGAATTCCCAGCTAGAACTTTTTCTTTTGGAGTTTTAAAATTTTTGGTAAAATAGACAATCATAAAATTGTCCATCTTAGTCATTTTTTGAGTGAACAATTTAGTGGCATTAGTTATATTCTCAATATTGTGCAATCTTCATCACTATTTACAAAATTTTTCATCACCCCAAAGAGAAACCCCATGACCATTAAACAATTCCCAATTTTCCCCTCCTCTTACATGTCCCTCATAACCACTAATTATGTCTCCTATATTGCCCATTCTAGATATTTTGTATACCTGAAATTATATATTTGCCCTTTTGTAAATGGCTTATTTCATTTAGTCTGTTTCCAGGATTCATCCTGTTGTAACATCTCTCAGAGCCACATCCCATTTTATGGCCAAGTAATAAACCATTGCACATATATATTACATTTTGTTTATTCATTCATTTGTTGAAAGTCTCTTGGGCTGTATCCATTCCAAAAAGGACCTTCTTTTGGATGGGCTCATGTCCTAAGATTTTGTACCTTATCATAGAGATACCAAGAATAAGGGCAGGAGAGATTCTTTTTGGATAGTGACACCACATCCAGATACCAGGAGCAACACCACTGATGCCACAATCTTTGGCATCCAGTATTCAGGGGTAGGTGTCTCAGTGGTCCTGACTGAGCTGAGTCTGCTGTTTGTTCTTCATTCTTGGTCCACTTAGACTTCACTCCTGTCACTGACAGGTTGCCAATGACCTCAGTTGTGCCAAATCTAGCAGTGTATATCTCAGTAGCAAACAACCTCTACTGACCCTCCTCCTTTCTTAGCTCAGACCCCCACACTCTGAGTGTTGCTTTCACTTCCTTTGCTGCTTTTTGGGGTGTTACATGCTAAATCCTTTTCAATTCTGGGTGCCCAGGATCCCACTGAGTCATCTTCTCTATTTACACTTTCTCTTTTTGGTCCAGGGTTTCAGTGCAATTTGTATCTGGATCTCTTCCTAGTTTCTTTCTCTTTTCACTGAGCACTGCACTTGAATACTCACCAGCTTACCTAACACCTTCACTTGGTTCTTGACTACATTTTAATTAATTTATTTTTTGGATGTTGCGCTGCCAGTGTTTCTCTTTCCTTGCTTAACTTTATTATGCTAACTAATTAATCATATGTTGGCTATTTATTGGATACCATTATTATTTATAGATAATAAATGTCCATATGTATGATTTATAATAATAGATATCCAATATATAACAATGGATATCCAGCTATTTATTGGATGCTGTTAGGTATAAGGTTCTTTGCAAGAGTTTGGAGAGAAAAATAAATACAGGACACAGTCCCTAACCCCAAGAATTTTATAATTAATCTCAGCACTTTCTAAGGTTTGGTCCATAAAAATAAGGTTTTATGATTAATTAAATTAGGCAGTGACTCTTTACTACATCTACTTCTTGAAGACTGACAATACATATGAATATATCAAAGGTTTTAATCAATTCTGTAGTAAAGAAATGTGCTTAACTTAGTTTAGCATAGCATTATATATTTGATCACAGAGTTCTATTAACATTTTTACAGATGGGAAAATGTCAACTGAGGATATTCCAAATGAGAGGAATAAATGAAAGGGTTGAGAGTAGGGAATGATCACTTGGGGCAGGAATGATCATGGAAGTAGAATACACAAAGCAGCTCAGTGATAGAGTGTTTGACCAGCAGGTGTAAGGGCTTGGTCTGGTCCCCAGGACCATTAAAAAGAAGGAGAAGAAAAAGGAAAAGAAGAAGGAAAGCAGGAGAAGGAGAAGGAGAAGAAGAATTTGAACTAAACATTGAAACATTGGAAAATGTACTAGATGTATTAGGTTTATTAATTACCTATGATGTGCTGTTCACTGTGCAAGGCACCAGGGTCTTCTGTGCTGAGCCAAGCAGACACAGTCTCTGCCTTTATGGATCTTATAGTGAGATATTAAATAGATAAATAGGAGAAAGAGGCAGGGTTGTGGAGGACATGCACAGTGTACAGCGATGTCAACAACAGCGGCCTCCGACTCTGAGCTAAAAGAGGAAGGATCAGATGTAGGCCAGGTACCTCTGCCAATGAACAGCGGCAATGACAAAGGTCTCTTCTGATCTTTTGAAAATAGTTCACTTGCTTCCCCCAACTCTGTTTTTATATGTCCCACAAAGAAATTGGGATTTTGTGATTTCATTAATAAATTTAAATATTTGTTATTGTTGAAGACAAGTATGAAAGAAAGTTTTATGAAAAATTGGGAGTTGGATAAGAATAAGAAAGGAAATAAATCACCAGTCAAAATTTCTCTGTTTCACAGAGTGAACAGGGCTCTTCCCCTGACAGTTATTCCTTATATTTCAAATGAGGCAGTTTTGAAAACAGTCAATGAGTTTATCTTAATTGAAATGAAATGCAATATTGGGCATACAAACTGAATAAAACGATAGATTAGGTGGTCAGTGTTTCATATCAAAGATTTTTTTTTGATTTATTATACCAATTACAAAAAGCAAAGTACACTAGCAATTTATGAGAATGGAAAAACTTTGGCAAAGAGGGCAACAAACTTCAAAGTTATTAATATTTAAAGACCTCTACTTGAGGCAACTTATTCTAATGTTTCTTTTCTTTTCCTTTTTTGGTACGGGGATGGAACCCAGAGGTGCTTTACAATACCGAGATATATCAGTAGCCCTTTATAATTTCTTATTTGGAGGCAGGGCCTTGCTAAGTTGCTGAGGCTGGCCTCAAACTTGCAATCCTCCTGTCTCAACCTCTTGAGTTGTTGGGATTATAGGTGTGCACCACTGCACCTGGCTAATGTTTGTTTTGACTTGCCAAAACATTCTTCTCACTTCTAGGTATTAAATCACCAGCATAGATCCAGTTGCTCCTTTCAAAAAGCTGGTGTACCTGTGTGTGTGTGTGTGTGTGTGTGTAAACTTTTTTTCATTTGGAACTCAATAGTGATATTATTAATTATTAGCAGAATCGTAAAAAAAAATTAAATTACTGGTTTTCCTGTTAACCAAAGGAGTCTGTGTATTTTTATGTTATTTAATATATTTTTTTGTTTCCATTTTGTTTGGTACTGGGAATTGAAACTGGGGTGCCTTACCACTGAGCTAGTCCCCCCACCCCTGCCCTTATTTTTTAAATTTTATTTTTAACTTGCAATCCTCCTGCTTCAGCCTCCTGAGTTGCTGAGGTTAGCCTGTACCACTGCACCTGGTTGTGTGTTATTTGAGAAGACTGTGTAATTGCAGACCAAAGGAAATCTCATCCTCACCTGCTTTCACCAGGCGCACTGCACACTCGCCAGGGGGCACGCCATGCAGATCTCCTTCGGGGCCAATGCACATGGTGGCTGCGACTGGTTTTCCAGATGTCTTTAAGGCTTCCACTGCCCACACAGCTTCTTCAACATGTTCGAAATACTGAAACAAGTTAAGGTTAGCATACTTTTAATCATGTTTTCCCACAAAACAACAAGAACATTCATTCTATAAAACATCTGGTGATAATTATGTTATCAAGCATTTTTAACACAGAATAGAATGGTATGGCGTTTTCTCAGTGTGAATTGCAGTCAGAAAGTTTGAAAAACACCATTTGCGTCAGCTGAATCAAATTTAGCAGAATCCTTAAGCTGGAAAAAGATTTCAAAAATGAAATATTACCGTTAACTTGTCATGATTGGCACCTAACCCCACACGAGAGCAAAAGGTAGAGAAAAATGCATCAAGTGTCCTTGTCTTATCTTTGATCACAGCTGTGTTTACCTCTGCAATAAGGAAGTCCACATTCTTCTTCATAAAGACTTCTAACTGCTGATGAAAGATTTTTTTAACTTCAGTTTCACTCTTGCAGCTGAGGTATGAAGGTGTCTGACTCACACCTCCTGCAACCAAAGCGTCTCCCTCATTAGCCACTTGTTGGGCGATGTCACAAGCTGCTTCATTGACTTTCTGCCCCTAAAATGGGTGAAAATAGGATACACCTAATTTCATGTGAAAATGAAAAAAAATATTCAGACTGCACTTCTTGGTTTTATGTTTATGATAGTGATTTTGATTTCATCCCAGAAAAGGACGGCTATGGAGTGGGGCAATGCTTTACCAAGTTGAGTAGTTTCCAAAACAACACTAATAATAACGATAACAACAATAAATCTAATAGTGGTGTCTGAGATACAGCCTTAGGCCAAAGATCTGTGAGAGGGTCAAAGTTTTTACATGCAAGGATCTGATCTGGTATCTTCCAGTGCCTAAGCTGCATTGAGATGAGTGCAAATAAAGGTGGTGGTGGTAATAAGGACTGGCTAATTTATGATTAATAAGATTAAACTTAAATTAAAATCACAACAAATTCAGGACTTTTTGTTATGTATTTTCTTAAATGATTGGTAAATGTATAAATCTTTAATTTAAATAAATAAATAAATAAAGATCTTTTCAAATTATATAAACAGTAAAACCTGGCCCTAAGCTGTTTTTTTTTTTTTTTTTTTTTGTACTAGGGATTGAACCCAGGGATGCTTTTCCACAGAACTGCAACCACAGACCTTTTTATTTTTTATTTTGAGACAGGGTTTTGTTAAATTTCCAAGGCTGACCTTCAACTTGAGATTCTCCTGCCTCAGCCTCCCGAGTCACTGGGATTACAGGTGTGTGCCACTGTGCTGGGTGGGTTTGTTTCTGTTTTTTAAAATGGGGACTGTAATGCGCAGACTGGCCTTAAAGTCCTGGGCTCAAGGGATCCTCTTGCTCCAACCTCCTTAGTAGCTGGGACTATAGGCACACCACTGAGCCATCTGGGACTTAAGTACTTGGCTAGCCCATGGGAGGCCCTGAATTCCAACTCATCACCCCCCAAACAAAAAACAACAGGACCCCCACCCCTATCCTAAAAAACAAACAACAATAAAACCACCAAACCCCATAATTGTAGATCATATAAACTCAAGGAATTTTAGAACTCTCTGTTCATATTGGAGATGAACAGCCTTGGTGGGGTAAAGGGTTGCCCAACAACACAAAGCTGGTTGTAACTGAGTCAGGCCCTATTCCAGGTTTACTGACTCCTTGGGTTTATTGTCTTTCCTACACTCTGTAAGACAGTAAGGAAGTACAAATTTGTAAGGATGCCCTCTTTACTCAGCAATTTAACATGAGACTGGGACAATGATTATTAAATAACTCCTCTTTAATCTCATTCATTAGATGCCTTTCTGTCAATTTCAGAGATTCCAGCTAAAGCCCAAGAGTGTTATTCACAAGTGATTTTGTAGTAGTAGAAATAAAACAAAACTCTGATGAGGCTCCTATTTTTCTGAGTGATGTGGTGTATCTGTGATGCTTTTTACAGCATCTCAGGCTGGTTGTACTTACGGATATTTTCTCCAAGACATAGTTTCCCCTGTTCTCCAGCTTGTCTTCACTGGCATAGAAGGTGAAGGTCTGCATAACATTCGATCCAGCTCTAAGAAACTCTCGATGAAGCTGGCGAACTGGGAGATTGCACAAGGAAAGGTATAATTTCTGTTTTCAAAAGGCTCTAAATAAACGTGAAAACAACTACAACGACTTAGATTTCTAGTTGCTTGGTATTTGCACATCTTGGGGATTAGTAAAGAAGTAGATCTGTGGTCTCCTGGCAACTCCTACAAACCTGCTTTGGCTAGATGGATGGGTGCTTCTCTAAGTATGACTCCCCCTGAGACTCACCTGGGGCCAATTATAACTGCAAATTCCCCAAACTGCTCCAGACCCAGCCAACTTGAATTCATTGCCAAACTCAATGCTGCTTCCACTGGGTGCAAGAATCAGAGTTTTGAGCATAAATTTAAGCAGGAGAAATAAGCTGACAGTTTCTGGATATCCTTTCAACTTCCATTTCTTGTTTTCCTTTATCATAAGGTTCCTAGATCCATCCTCTAGCCAATAATAGGATGTGTCTGGTCCCCATGACACAATATCACTTATACTAATTACTTTTATTTTATGGTCTTCAATGCCTCATTATGGTAGTGTTATTTTAACATTATGGAAGCTAAATGAACAGTGTTACATGGTTATATACATACATGATTAGAAATTAACCTTGTCAATTTAGCATGAGAAATGCAAGTATTTGAAAATACAAAGCAAATCCTAAATGGTCAAGTAAAATTCTTCATTAGAATAATATGTCTGCAACAAAATAATTTGGGAGCAACATGTGACCCGAATGAACACGAAGGTTGAACTCAGTCAACTTAATAACAGTAGTAATACATATGTTGCTTATGATTCCCAGTTAATGTGGGTAGACATAGATGTCAATGTAAAAAAGTATTAATGTGGTGTAGAGCCCAATGGGAGTGTTATATAATATACACATACTCACTGTATTAACTTTCTAAAATCCCCAAATTTCTCTATTCCATCACACATTTGGTCCCAACATGGTTTGGATAAGGGATTTGCGGACCTGCAGCATATCCTTACCTTTCTTACCACCTAAAAACTTAGGTCCAGGCACCAGATATGTAAAATGTTTCAGATGAAGTCCAACTTGCAAGGAAATTTTGGGGAATCTATGTCAATTCTAGCTACCACTCAGTCTAAATTATCTTTGCACTTACAGATAAACAGCTTCATTTGCAGAAAACAGCATGAAAACAGATTACTCCTCTTCTTCAGAGTATGACTGTTATACACACCTTTCACCTAGCCCCCAAAGGCAAAATACAATCACCATCCTGTGGGGATGGTCCTATGAAGGTGCGTTACAGGAGACCTGTCTTTTCTGATGCATCCTGTGGTCCACTGTGCTTGACAGAATTTGAGCTGAATGTTGGCAGAATCTAATACCATATGGGATTTGGTCTGTGGCAGAAGGGATTAAATTGAAAGACTTGGTATCATGGATTTTCCATTAATTCTCAAAAATCATGTAACTTCCCAGAAGAAAACATAAAGCAAATGCTTGACACACCCAGACAAGCTCAAAATAACAAGGAGTCAGCTAGCCAAGAGATAAAATGTGCTATTTCTATACTAATAGTATCAAAGAAAATGCCAGAATAATTTCTTTTGAGCTCCCGTAGTATGAAATGTTTTTTTTTTAAATTTTTAATTTTAGTTGGACACAATATCTTTATTTTATTTATTTTTATGTGGTGCTGAGGATCGAACCCAGATCCTTACATGTGCTAGGCGAGCGCTCTACTGCTGAGCCACACCCCCACTCAGCCGCTGAAAAGCTTTTTAAAAAATGTGACATAAAATTAGAACTTGTGGTTTATAATAATAGTTTTATTTGGTCTACATGGCATGGTCCAGGCAAGAGTTAAGTTCATCATAGTGGTTTTGCCCAAGAAATGTTTTATCTGGAACTTCACCTGGCAAGCAGACCATAGAAAGCAAACCATGGGGATGTGTGAAATCTTCATTCAAGGTTCTTAGCCACCATTACACTGTGCTCCTAAAAGCCCTTTAGTGCAAAGCTTCTTCAGGTGCAGTCATTTCACAATCACCTTGGGGTGATGATTGTAAATACAGGTTCCTGGACTACTTCACAGGCCTAATGAAGCTGAATTTTCATAAGTGGGGCCCAGGAATCTGTAATTTTTAACAAACTTCACTGGTGAAATGACATGGTGAGATTCTCAGTTCTATATTTCTTTTTTACAAGGATAGAACACAGTATTATTTCTACTTCTTTTTGGAAATATGAAAGTTGTGTACATTTTCTGGGTTGTACCTTGTGAATATAGATCTTTCAACTTTGGGTACTGTTTAGGGACTGTGTGGTTTATACTTCTGTTCTTCTTTGGAAGAAATAAGTTTTGTACTTTTCTAGCAGAAACAGGTTAATAAATGCAAGAATACTATCGAGAGGATACAACTCAGTCAACTTAATAACAGTAGGAATACATATGTTGTTTATGATTGCCAGGCGTTATTTTAAATACTTCCCATATAACGTAATTAACCTTCCTAACAACTTTGTGAGGTAGATGTTAACTGTTCATGTGCATTGTTAGTTTCCATCATTTATCACTGAGTTTGACAAAATAAATATATTTTTAATGATCATAAAAAAAGAACTGTTCCTCTTATATAAGTCACTGAAACTTTCTCTACTTTCATCTCAAAGACTCAACATCTGTACAAGTAATCTGAGCATACTCAAGTCCACGCTTTCGTCCTGCCTTCTTACCTCAGGAATATACAGAATCTACTTAAATCCCCTTCTTCCATATCTGTCCAAGGCTATCCTATGAAACAAAGCCATCAGCCTCTCTCACCTCCCTCTTTTCCAGACCAGGAAGATCTTCTAAAATCCTTCCTTCCAGTATACTATCCAAACTGGTCAGAGAAGTCCCATCTCTCTCCCCTTGCTCAGTCTAGCTCTGTAACTGGAATCCATCATTCACTCAATCGCATGTGCCAGACCTTGATTGTTCTAAGGACTAGGGATACTTCAGCGAACAATGAGTTTGCATTCCAATACAGGTAGACAATTAATGACTAATAATAAACAGATAATTCAGTGCCATCAAGAAAGTGAGACAGAATAATACAGAGGTAATAAAGATAATCAAGGATGACCATGGGGCTAATTTAGGTTAAGCACACAGGGAAGGCCTTTCTGAAATAATGCTGATGTTGAGACATGGGTTCTATAAACACAGAGGAAGAGTTGGGAGAAGGAACAGAACGAAGGTCTAAGTGGGATGATGTGAACATGCTCGAGAGGACAGAACAGAGGCCAGGTGGCTGATGCTGTAGGCTCTCAGATCCTTAGCCCATGTGCCTCTTTTCTGCAGTGGACCATAGCACTGGCTGCTGAAAGTCCCCAGGTAGAATATTCTCCAAATGTATCCAAAGTCAGAGGGGGCTTCCTTGCCCAGGGTTCAGTCTACTCATGCGGGGAGAACTGACAGCTTGCAGGTATGATTTCTATTGGTAGGCAAAGGACACCAACCATCTTACCTCAATATGGGACAACTCAAAAGGACTGTCTACCACTAGAGTTCCAGAAGGCAGGCTGAGACCTCTGATATAACTGTATCCCAGTATAATTCCTCCCCCTGTCCAACACTGTTTCTCTCACTCCTTTACAGGCATTGTTTCCTAAAAGCACTCCCCAATAAAATTCCTGCACATGAATCTCCAAACAAACAGAATTTGTTTCTGGATGGCCTGACCTGCAAGAGTTGGATTCAGGACAAGTCCTAGGAAACAACTAGAAACTGTCATTTTGGAGTTGGAGCTCCCTGAGGCCAGTAATAACTCTGATGAGAATGAGCATCCCCCATCACTGGAGGTAGGAGGCTTTTGACAACTCCTTGCATGCTCCAGGGATGCTACTATTAAAAACATTAAACTGTGGTGAACTGGAGTGGGCTGCTTCTAGGAAGGTGTGCACTAGCAGATTTATGAGAAAGTATGCATGTATTCAGATGTATGAGTGGTTTGGAGGAAGTAGTAATTATAAGGACTATGGAATCAAATGGCTACTGATGGGTACCATTGGTGCACTGGAGGAAAATAATGAAAGCCTAAGAGTAAATTATCCCCAACCTAAGTATCAGTATGAAAGTCTGAGAGCCTCCTGGGTGGCACATAAGGAGACCCATTTTGTGAAACTAGAGAGCAGAAAGAGCTGAAGATCTGGCTCTGGACTAAGGTATATAGGAGCAGAAGTCCAGCGAAGTTGAACTCTCAACCAGAAAGCCTGTAATATTAAAGTCAGTGCCTTGATTAGGAATATATGGGACCCCGAGGCTGGGGGTGAAGACATATAGGTGGACTCACCCAAGAACCTTAAAAACCCAGATCATTCCTAAACACTCTGAGCCTGCAGAAGTGGCCCATTTCTTCCTTTTAAAGAAGAACACTTACCTCTTGCTTGAGGACCATTTAAAGGCTTCTGTCTTGGAAGACAGCATTTATTACCCCAGGTTCCCTCCTACCTCCTCTCTCCTGGCCATCAGAGATTTTTGGTCAAAAATGTAAAGTGAGTCTAAGGCACATGGGTGTAGGTGTAGAAGAGGTGGATATTTGCATTTAAATAGGGTTGGGTTAGTACGACACAAATTGAACCTGTTGGCAAATAAACAATGGAGGCAGGACAGTGATTATGATATGGAACCTCAGACAGTAAAGTGGGTCATAAGAAAGGGGTGGTCATATGGGAAGAATGGATTGTACACTAAACTGATGTGGACAAAGGGCTGACCTTGATGAGGCAGAGGAATGGGAGAACCAGAGAGAGTGAGCAGAAGGTGGGAAATGGTGGGCAGCTCTTGGTGATGACAAAGTCTAGGAGTGGGTCTCTTTGGTGGTGGTGAAGAAAATGTTCACAGGAGATAGGAGGAGATTCAGGCACTACAGGAAAGTGCTGAAAAGATCATCTGTATGGAAACTGAAGTCATCCAAACTTGTGAGGGAAGAGGGACAGAGAGGAAGGTCGTGAGCCAGGTTCTAGGCTCATCTAGGTTCTAGACTCATCACTTCCTGGCAGGGCCCAGTAAGTGGACAGCTGATGCATCATGAAGGGCTGTTTTGCTATCCAACATGTGAATCTATAACACAGCTAGTAGTACCCAGGAGGCCATGACACGTAGCTGGAAAATATTGTACACGTGCTGTTCTTTGATAGTTTACTCTTGAGCTTAGATCAATATAGTGCTCATCATGAGAACTTAGAATAGATTCTGCACTAACCTGCCTCAGGGTGCTCCACAGCAGCTTCTGGGGTCCAGGGTCCTGCCTTTACGTAGCCCCTCTTCTCCAGGGCAAAGACAAACCCTCCATCTCCAATCACAACCTCTCCAGCGTTTAAACGTTCTAGGATGCCCTAAAATTCCAGACAAGGGGAAGAAAGTTACTTGAGTTTTTAAGACAATTTTCCATTTTAAAAACTATTCTTGAGAAGTATGATTTCTCCCAAAATATGCATATTTTATACATCAATTTATGGCAGAACACTCATATAATGGAAATTTGTGTATTCTTGTGTATATGATGGGCATGTGTGGGTATCTTTCAGAACACATTAAAGAGTATTTGGGCTGGGGGTGGTAGTTCAGTTAGAACAGTTGCTTGAAGCCTTGGGTTCAATCCCCAGCATGACAGAAAAAAAATGTATTTGAAGAGTATCACAGTGGGAGGATATTATGTTTGAAGAACCATCTGCTAAGTGATTAAACTAAATGATTTTGTTGTAAAGCCTCAAATCTATACTGTAGTACATATTCTTTTTTCATTCAAAATTAAAATTTAAAAATATGTACAATTAAAAAAATTGTACATATTTCTGGGGCACAGTGTGATAATTCAATCGTGTGTATAATGCATAATGATCAAATCAGGATGATTGATATTTCAATCTCCTTAAACATTTACCATTTCTTTGTGATGGGAACCTTTGAACTTCTCTCTTCTGGATCTTTATAAAATTAGAATAAATTGTTATAAACTGTACTCACTATACTTAAGCACACATTTTGTTGTTGTTGTGTTTTTTCTCCCTCTCAGTGCTAGAGATTGAACCCAGAGCTTCACGAATGCTAGGCAAATGCCTTTTATTAAGCTACAGCTCCACCCATTTAGCGCACATTCTTAAAATGGTGATTGTTAATCTTCTTACACTATCCATAAACTAAAACAAGCATTAAAATCGTTAAAGAGGTTGAAGTGGCATATAATACTATTAGGGCATTTAGAAGACTGAAAAGTTACAAGTCACTTAGTAAAGGCAGAAGGAAGAAGATTCCAGCACAAATGTGATCAAGTAATTTAAAAGATCCTTCTCTTTGCTATTAAAATTCATTTTCCACAACAGCAGCTATGTTATGCATCCAGAAAGTTGGGAATATGCACATTCTGTACTCCATGCCAGGAACAGGGAAGAGACAAATACAAGTATTTCCAGCTTGTTTGCCATACCTACTCCATCTACAATACTAGGCAAGAATCACCTAGTGTTAATGTTTAAGAGATACATTTTGAATGGAATATTTTAAAAGGGTTTTATAGACGAGACAATAATTTACTATTATAATTGTATTTTTTTAACTTCAAAGCCATAGACTTTAAGAATAAAAGGTATCCTTTTATTCTTAAAGTCACTTTAGGGTGCCTGCTCTGATTTTCCAAATGAGGAATGAAAGCCAAGAGTTCCTTAGAAATTTATACACTGTGTCCCAAACTAAAGGAATCTTCCTGACTCTTCTTAAGTGATATCTAGATTTGATTTTTAATAGGGTGGAGGAGGTTGGGAAAACCCTGAAGAAACTGTGAATGGTAAAGGAATAACTTGGAATTCACCTACTATGTTCCATTTACTAGCAATACCAGCGGCTAAAACAATTGCTGATATAACAAGGGCACATAAATCTGCTGGAGGCATCCATAGGGTTTTGCACCCAAATTCCTTTCTATATTCTTACAGCCTCCCTTATTTTAGCCCTCTTCCCTTTCACAGCCCCACCCCAGACCATTTGGACAGCAAGCACTCAGAGAGAAGAAGCAGCTGTCATTTTCACCTAAGAGGAGTAAGTCAATTATCTGCTCTCTAATACTCCTTTTGGATCAAAAAAAATTCCAAGTCTGGAAGTCTATAGTTAAAATACAACTACAAAAATATAGAATTGCTCACATGTAATTCTAAAATCCAAATGTCATTATTACAATGTGTCTGAATGCTACAATCTGGATGGGTGTAGTGGTGCACACCTGTAATTCCATTTGATTTGGGAAGCTGAGGCAAGAAGGATTTTAAGTTCAAGGCCAGACTCAGCAACTTAGTGAGGCCCTAAGCAACTTTAGAAAGGGCTGGAATGGCTCAGTGATAAAGCATCCTCAATCCCCAGTATTACTACTAGTAATACTACTAATAACAATAATAAAAATAAAATAGATGTCAAGATACTAAAACTAAAACTTTGATTATTTTGACCCAACTAACAAGATATACATATGTATGTATGTGTGTGTGTGTGTGTGTGTGTGTGTGTGTGTATATATATATATATATATATATATAAATTGTGTGTCTTTATATAATAATCATATAGACACACAGTCTATATCTGCATATATTCAGTTATATCAAAAACATGAACAAGGGTCACATAAATGAGATATGACTTTCTACTAACTTTCATTTGGGTGAAATAATTCATGAGATTTTGGCAGTTAATAACAACTCTCATTGAAAAAATGTTTCAAACGTTAGTACCATGACATTTTTAACACATAGCATAGCTAAGAATCTCATATCTGGTAGTGGTGGACTGGTGATTCCATTACTATGCTGATCATAAATCTGTCCAGCAACTATAGCTGCATATACTACCTCTTCAGAGTCTATTATATTTTTCAGTTACCTGGACTACAGATTTTAAAAGTGCAATGTGCTATAAAAAAAAGATGTTGTTTTGTGAAAAGGTATTACAGAACAGTATGTGCAATATCAGCCCATTTTTTTTTTTAAAAAGTACCCATTTGCCTAGAAAACAAACTAGTAGAATATATATGGAAAAGTCGTAGCCACTGTACTTTGTACTTCTAACCATTTGGTAATAATGAATATGCGTTATCTTTGAAACATACTTTAAACTCAAATATGTAGATGCATTGTGGTTCATGTTTTAAGCTGATATGGAAACAAGGTTACTAAGGAAACTTTTCTCCCCATTATGTCCATCTGTGGCTTAGATAATTCTTTAGAGATAATTCTTTAAAATGTTAATGTTTTGAGTTTTGAGTTTGGGGAATGGGTTAGAATCCATGGCTATGAAAATGGAGCCACACCAAGAAAAAATATTAATTAAATCTCCAGAGGACTCAATCTTTCCAGTGGATTTATGAATTGGCAGCAATTCTCAACCTACCTGAACTGGGTTCATTCAGCCCTAATCATTCGTCCTTTCAACACACTCCTCACACCTTCCATTAATAGGGTATGGTATTTAAAATACCTGATTATTCTTTTTCCCTGTGTGGAGTCTTTTTGATTTGGTGGTCATTCCTTAGAAACTGGGCACAACAGGGCGGGGTTGGGGTAGGGTGGATGGGTGGTGTTCCGGGTTCCGGTCCTCATGGTCCTCACAGCCAAGGGAGTAAGTGGATGTGGTCCCATTGCCTTCCAACAATTTTCCGAGGGCCTCTGTGGTGCAAGGTTTGGGACTGGGCCTGGGGGCACCAAGGGCTCAAGTATATGCCTTCCTCCCACCATTCTTCTCTATCTTCCCATCTGTCCATCCATCTTTCCCTGAACTAGATGAAGATAGACTATGTGGATTGAAAACACTCACCCCAGCAAGCCCCTGGGCTGCTTGTAACCAGGAGGAAGAACTGCTGAGGTTTACGTGTTTACAATCTTATCAACAGCCCTTCCTCAACATCTTACAGCCACTCTGCTCATTCTCCTGCGGTAGTTGAGACAAATCGCGAATGAAACCTACCATCGCCCCACCGACGCCTGAGCCTTGGGTAAGGCGCGCGCGCGCGCAGCGGGAACCGGGTGGGGAGGAGCGCGCGCTACCCGCAGGACCGTTTCCCGCCGGCGCCGCGCGGCACAGGCTCTGCTCCCTTCTTGCCTGGCGCGCGGGCCGCCAGCCTGTGCCCCGCCCTGGAAGCGGAAAATCGCACCTGTCGTGGGGAGTTCTCTGGTCTTGCGGGGCTGGACTCAGAGTCTTGAAGCTCTGGAGGAGCCCTCGAGTCGGGGATGCCTCAGTTGGGTAGAGAAGGATCACTTAGGTCCAGGGCGCCCTCTGGGCTGTGAGTGCCCGGAGAAAGGGACTTTCGGGGGCGCACTCTGGACAAGAGGCAGGAATGGGGGCGGACTCAGATGCCACAGGGTCACTCCGAAGTTTTGGAAACACCTTCTGGCCAGAACGCGGTGGGTAGGAGGACGCTGGGTCCAGCCGGGCTCTGAGGGTCCCCCTACGCTGCTGAGGGTGGGTGCCCTGCTGGTGAGTGGGATTGGAGAACGCCGTCGGGCTTTCTGGAGACTCACCTTCTTGGCCTTTTTGCCTCCGACGGGTGCCATCTCCGTGGTGCTCAGACCGGTGCTTGGCACAGTTGCGGGCAGATCAGAAGCGAGTTTCCCCCTTGCAAAGCTGGTGCAGCCCAGCGGCAGCAGCAGGCCTCTTTATACCTGCTACTCAGCGCAGGGTGGGTTTCCCCACCCTTGGCGCGGTCCAACGCGGGCCTCGGCCTTGGAACACGCCCACCAGGCTTTTATTCTGGCCACTGGGAAACTGCCCGGTGGAGGAGATGTCAAGATTGTTCTCTCAGATATGTGGAAACACCGAAAAGTAAAATAAATAAAGAGATTGCCACTTGCTCATCTGCACATAGTCCCTTGTGCACTCGCGGGTCTCCGACCTTGATCCACCCCTCTCTTGCCTGGGATTATGTACCATAACCCACTAAAACCATCAGGCAAGGCCCCTACGAATTCCATTCAAAGCCCAAATATTTGTCAAAGTCCAAAGATTTGAGGTTATTGAGTAAGGTGATGACCTGGAAGAACTTCAGCCTAAGACGTGGTCTCCTGTATGACACATTTGGTATAACAAATACAAATCTTAGCATTTACAGAAGAGTCCAGCTCTAACCCTGGGTATGTTTAAAATGCCGGTCTACCCTTACATCCAAATGTGCCTTACAGTTTCTAATGATACCGTAGTTTCTAATAAGAAAATCTTTACAATACTCAGCAAAGACAGACTTTAACATATTTGAAAGTGAAAATGTACTTTGGAGACTTCAAAATTCAGGATGAAAACAACGAATGCAGGGTTTGCAGATGTAGTTACATAGGCTACTAGTTTAAAATGTAACTTATAGAACAACATAAAGTCTGAGACAGGGTTCAGAATCTTTTACCCAAATAAAATCAAGTGAGAAAATTCTATATGTGAAGCAATAGCTTCCACTTCAACATTTGCAGAGAAAGAAATCATGGTAGCAAATGATGGATTAAAATTTAATTGCTAATATGATTTGTACTTGAGATGCAACTGAGGAGGTAAAATCCTTTTGCTACTGATAAGTATGTCAACTTAAAAATGGAAATAAATGAAAGGATATAATTTTTTTTAAAAAATCTAATATTGTGCCCACATGATCTGGGTCATCAAGAAAGATGCATGAGGGTGATGTTATCATTCACAGTACCTATTTTTTTTTAAAATTTTTTTTAGTTGTCAATGGACCTTTATTTTATTTATTTATATGTAGTGCTGAGAAACGAACCCAGTGCCTCACACATGTAGGGTTTCAAACGCTCTACCACTGAGCCACCACCCCAGCCCCAGTACCTATATTTTTAAATCTTAAAGCACTGGAGTATCTGAGAAGGTTACAATTTAGTTAGATAATGAAAAGCTAGTTATAGTATTAACCTCTGTGGCTGCAGGGAGCAGCGGCAGTGGTGGGTACCAGGCACTAGGGGGCGATATCAAGGCTCTGACAGTCAATAAAAGCTGAAAGTAGACATTTCCAATATCGGAGGTTGATCTAAATCCAGCAAAACTTTGGAGACATTTTAAACAAATAGCATTAAATTTAAAATGAGTGAGGGCTGGGGATGTGGCTTAAGCGGTAGCGCGCTCGCCTGGCATGCGTGCGCCCGGGTTTGATCCTCAGCACCACATACAAACAAAGATGTTGTGTCTGCCGAAAACTAAAAAATAAATATTAAAATTCTCTCTCTCTCTCTCACTCTCTCTTTAAAATAAATAAATAAAATGAATGATTAAGTTTAATAGGTAATGTGGACATATGGCAAAATATTTTAAAGTCCCTAGCTGCTGTTGCCAGGTAAAATACCTTCTCTGGAGGTGACCACTATTACCTGTTAACTATCTTTCCAGAGGAATTCCAAGCCTGAGTGTTTGCATGCATATAAAAAATTCTACTTGAACATAGGAAACTTTAGTTATTTAAACACTTATTCACCCTCACTTTTTCCAAGATGATTTATAGACAGCTATCAAAGTTCTTTTGTTTTTTCCTCAGTGTTATGGTTTGGATCTGGAATGTTCCCTACAAGCTCATGTGTTGAATGCAAAGCAGCGATTTCCAGAGATGGGTCTTTGAGGAGATGATTGGATCTCAAGGTCTCTAACCTCATCGGTGAATTAATGCAGTTGATGGATTAATACTTTGAATAGACTACTGGGTGGTAACTGTAGGCAGATGGGTCATGGTTGGAGGAAATAAGCCCTAGGGGATATGTTCTTGGGAACTGTATCTTGTCCCAGGTCCCTTCATTTTCCCCTCTCCCTCTATCCTACCCCCCCCCCCACCCTGGTTTTCAGCTGCCATCAGCTGAGCAGATTTCCTCTATCACATCCTTTCTTCCACCATGATGTTCTGCTTCCCCTCAACACCAAAGCAATGCAGATGGCAGACTATGGACTAAAACCTCCGAAAGCAGAAGCCAAAATAACTTTATTTCCTTGAAGTTGTAATTGTCAGATATTTTGGTCATAGCAGCAAAAAGCTAACATACTTAGCTTCTCAGTTTGTTGTCCTAATTCCTAACTTTCTTCCCATTTCCAAAATTAGGCCAATTTTAAAAAAACCATTCATCTACTGTTTCTATGATAGATAATAATAGCCATAGTATCGGAGTGCTTACTATGTGCCAGGCACTGATTATGCCTTTTCCATACACAGTATCATTTACTCCTTACAACTCTGTGAGGCTGGTGCCCCTCTCTGTGCTCAAGAATCATGGAGGCAGGTGGTTAGAAGGGTTATCAGCCTGAGTTCTGAAGTTCCTTTGCTCAGATCCCAGAGAACCAAGTCCGCTTGGATACAACCTAGGATGCAGATTCCATAATAAGCTGTTCTTGGGAGGCTGCCCATGCTCTTTGGTCTCTGCTCAAGCAACAAGATGAGGGAGGTCCTACCACTGAAGTCTTTGGCTTTGTACAAAAAGATACCCACAAGGTTAAAAATAAATCCTGAAGGGAGGAGGGGAGGATTAGAGCTAGAGATCCACCCCCTTAGTTTTATAACCTCAAAAGAGAGGTATTGTTCTAGCTCCAGTTAGTGCTTTGCTCTGCTTATAACCCCATATATTCATTCCACAAATATTTATTAAGCACCATTAACACAGTGTTGGTGCTTGAGGTGAAGGACGTCTCTCTTGTTTTTATTTTCAATGGGAAAGACAGACACCATCTCATATAAATATGAAAATATCCCTTTTATCAATATGTAGATGGAAAAAAATCTCAGGATTCTGCGTTTTCATTCAGCTGGGATCCCCTTTAAAATGAAACTGTCCTTTCACAGGTCTCTTTAGACTAAAACTCTTTCATTGAAGCTATTTTACACTTTAACACTGTGGAGAACTGTGTTTGCAAATCGGTGACATGGCAGTGAGGCTGAGATCTGTGTTTCCTTTGGCAAAGTCAGTGTTTTTAAAAAAACTGAGTGTGAATTCCTGTACCTGGAGCAGTCACCCTTCCCGTTTGCAGGGCTGGACTGCACCCAGTTACCCTACGCTCCTGTTTACCTCATCTTTAGCTTTCAGCTTCTGTTGTATGTAGAAGACACATTTGATGGGATCAGATACATGATCCCCACATATTCCCCGAATGGAAGGTTTTACTTGCCTCCTATTTTCCTACTGTCATTAACCTCGGTTTCTTTTTGTTGCCACTTTTGGGTTCATCATTAAGAGATGGTGGGGGTGGCTTTTTCTCTGAAAACTCTCTTCCCTGGGTGCACTTCACCCCCCACCCACCCCAGTCTGTTGCAATGGCCACACTCACACATTTATGCCAACACTCCAGGCATATCATACCCCATCACACAACTACCCACTACTTCTGGGAAGGGCTTTGATTTCCTCGTATGTAAACCTAGAAGTTGAAGTGAGGTCAGTTTTCAGACTCATTTTTGAATTGGTTTGGCATAAACTTAGAGCACAAAACATCTCTTTTCCCAGGGTGTTTTTGTGCTTTCTTTGCCTATCCCTTGTGATAGTAAGCACTTTTTTTTTTTTTTTCCTTCAAGACAGGCCTTGCTGAGGGTAACCTTGAACTCAGGGCTCAAGTGATCCTCATCACGGTGCCTGGCCAGCAAGCACTTCCCCAGCCTGCCTCTGAGAGTGTGCCTGGCTTCTGCGGAAAAAGCCTCTAACTTCTGCCCATGGTTGAGCCTTCATTTTTGATTCCCTGATTTCTGGAGAATAACAGAGATTTTTTGTTTTTGCTGGACTGTTCGGGACTTCTTTCTGCCACAGGTAAAAGTGCTTCCCTCAGCACTCACATATTGGCCGGCCTCTCCTGGCTCTCCACAGAGGAGTCCTCTGACCAGTGTTCCTGTTAATTCCACACACCCCTAGTTCCCAGAACTGTTCTTTGAGCATGGAACTTGTGCCCCAGATTCCCTTTCTAGCTCTGAATTTCCCCTCTTCAGTCTTTCCTCTAACTTTGTTTTTAAAGTATTGGTGCTTTGTAAGTATATATAATAGTGGGATTTATTGTTACCCATTCATATGTATAATGCCTTTGAATAAGATATCAGCCTGTCACATAGCCTTTTGCTGCTTTTATTTTTAAAAAGGAAACAGACAACTATAACTTCATGAGTACTTACTATGTAGAGTAAGCCATACTAAATTCTTCTTTGGTGTTATGTAACCTCCACAAACACTCCATGAGGAGGAACTTGGCCATCCTGACTTTACTGATGACAATACTGAGGCACACAGAGGTCAAATGAACACTTTCCCAAGATCATGTCAACAGTCAGCCTAAAGCTACCAGGACTTCAGCCCAGGTCTAATGAAGCCAGAGATCACATTCTTTGGAGCTACTCTATCCTTTCTTTTCATAAACAGTTTTCCTAATGAAAAATCTCCTCAAACTTTTATTTTTTTCTTTCTTTTTTTGGAGGGGTAGGGAGTGGTGGTAGGTACAGGAGACTGAACCCAGGGGCATTTTACCACTGAGCCACATCCCCAGTCCTTTATACCTTTTTTAAAATTTTAAGACAGAGTCTCACTATGATGCTCAGGCTACCTTGGAACCTGCAACCCTCCTTGCCTCAGCCTCCGGAGTCTCTGGGGTTATAGGCATGTGCTAGT